AGGAGCAGCTGTGCAGTAAACTGCAGCTAAGTCCAAACCTTGTATTGTGCCAACACCAAGCAGAATAAACTCTTCCAACAATTCTTACATCGTGAACAGAATATCGATCGAGAATGCAACTACATATATATATACACATCAAAATTTTTATATCATGAAGGTGACTGGGAACATAACTTTTTATATATCCAATAATTATATATATAATTCTCTCTATATAATTCTATACAATTCTTATAAATACAATTGAAAGTATAACTTTAACTATATATATCCAATAATTATAACATAAATGCAATCAAAAGTGTAACTTTTAACTACATATATCCAACAATTCTTATATCATAAACACTATTGAAAATATAACTTTATACATACAGATGTATGCAACTATGTTCTAACCATACCTTATCCAAGAACTGGAGAAGAGAAAGGAGAGTAAAGGAAAGAAGTAGAGAAGCAATAGAAGTGAAAAAGATGGTAGGAAATTTGGGGGTATCACCACCCTAAGTTCCAGGAATGACTTGTTGATGGTCACCTGTGAGACGTGGGTCCTGGGTGACAGGCTGGCACATGGCCACTCTGGCTGGTGTCTTTTACAGTGTTTCGGTCGGAAGATGCTGGAAGGTGGGTTGGGGGGTCCTCCCCTTGGGCAGAGCGCTCCTCCCATCAGGTGGAGTTATGCAAAGCATGGGCACCCCCTGGTCTGGAACATTATTGAAATGGGTCTGGGGGGTGTAGGAGGGTCCCAAGGGTCGGTTTGTCCCTCTAAATGTGGTGTGACACGTTTTGTGGGTGCGCACGCCCTTGGCCTCTGGTCAGAGAGGGGGTGTTGGAGAGGCAGCATGGTCCTGTCTCCCCCAGTTTGCCACCCATCACCACTTCTCCTTCTGGGCAAAACATTCTGTTGAAGGCAAACCTTGTGCAGATCACACAGTTTGTCCATGACAATGGGGCAGTGGGATTCCTTCCCTTCTACAGTTGTATTAAATCTGAAAGGATCTGAATTAAGGATCTTAAAAGCACTCTACACACCGCAGTAACTCTGTGTTTACACATACCTCTGTTCTGAGGTTCCTAAAGCAACTGTCACCATGTCCTGCTCAACCCAATGGTGAAATGTGGAATTTGGCGGTGCACAAGCCCTTGAGCCAGTGTCACCATCGGTCTCCGGTGTCCCAAGCTCAGCACGATGTCCACGAGGCGAATCCCACCAGCACACTGAGCTGTAAAGGGACTGGGGTGACTACCAGGTAGGTGCTTCACCAGGGAAGATCTATCCAAACCCCAACAGCTCCAGCAACAATTAGTCCTGGGAAGGACTTTCGTAGGCCATTAAGGCGATCTTGAAAGGCTGCAGGGATACCGTGCCCAACAAAATGGTGCTTTTTCCAACCACTTAAACTCCTTTGAACTCATTCTTCAAATAACAAATGCTGGTCCTAGCAGGATCAATTTAACATGTTGTGGTTTAGCATCTGTCTCCGTCCCCCCCTCGCCAAAATGTTACTTTGATCAAATTTCTGCAACCTGTTCTACCTCCAGATCCCAATCAATACGTTTTTATTATTAATAAAAAATACATTAAGTTGTTCTAGTGACTATGTGCCAAACCACCGATTTCAGTGAGACCTGGATCAGTCCTACCACCTCGCCAGAAATGAGATTTCTAGAATGAAACCATCCAAGGTAAATAATTAATATCCTTTTCCTTATAAATGAACATAATTCAGTAAGAGCAAATTATTTTAAAAGTCTGTTTAAAAAAAAAAAAAATACTCCCAAATGAAGATAATTTTTTTTTTCTACCTAGACAGATGAAGAGTCCCACTGCGGGCCATGGGGAGAGGTTGATACCAAAGGCTGAACGGCCTCTGGCATCAAGGATCCTTTTTCCAGCTGGATTTAGAGCCCAGACTCGCTCTCCAGCTCTCCGTCCTGGACACAGACTGCACCACGCTCACGGCACGCCGGTAACTTTCTTCTCAACCTTTTTTGCAAGCTCATGCAGATCTCAGGAGAAGGAAGATTTACCCTCACTCCCTTTGATCAGTGCTCATCAGCTACACGTAAAACTGAGGAACATTCTCTGCTCTTACAAAACTCTTCACGTCTTATTTCCTCCCTCCTCCTCTTTCCCGTAACATAAAAAGCTTCTTTTGCAGTTTACCAAGTCCCTCTGCCACTACCAGCTAAAAAAAGGAACCAAACTTAGAGGAACTGTTCCAGGAAAGGAGAAGAATGTTTAAGATAAATTATTCAAAGCTAAAAAAAAAAAAAAATTTAAAAAATCTTAATTTACATATCCAGAACTTGTTAAAACACCCTCCCAGTCGCCCATGGGACCAGACTGGAGTCCCTTACCTGCTGTCAGACAAAAATACTCTCAGGCAGATCTAGTTTAATGCAAAAGAATTTTGTTCTCTGGTAATTAACAAAGGGTTAATGGAAAGATAAACTCATTTAAAAAAATAGACAATTTATGGTCCAAATTTTTCTGTTCTTACTGGCGCACATGTTCCCATTAATTTAATTCAACTCTCACTAGCAGTCAGATTTATGAAGTAATTTCGTATCCAGACTTCGAGAGAGGAGAAGACCATGGTAGGCAAAGACACATGGGTCTGCTAGGAAAGAGACAACTCTAACTTAATTACAAATACTAAAATGTATTAAATTGAATATATAGGAATTGCACGTAACTCCAGCACTAAATGTACCCTCATTCACCAACATACAAAAAAAAAAAATAAAAAATAAAAAAACCCGACAGCCATATAGTTAATCTGGCCTTCGTAAGACCCACCTTTATTTAGGATTTAGATCCTAAAGCGTATTTTGGGTGGTTACGTTATGGGACTGACCACAGGTATCAGCTCACTGCTGCTAAAAAGGGGGGTCCCAAGCAGCTCCCCATTTTGTGGCCAAGCACACGAATGCAAAAATGTATTTACAGCTGCGATGGATAACCCAGTTCTGGAGTGGCATGATCCAGCACTGCGGGGAGATGAGCTGCAGTGGGGGGTTGCACAGGCTTTGGGTTTGTCCCTTGTTATTATTTCCATCCTTTGATTTTGTCATTTGCAGGTGGTATCTGTTGAATTTCCACAAAACCTTCAAGTTGTTCCCTAAACTTCAAATCATGACCATGAATGGCTTAAAAATAGGAAGCAGATGTGTCAGAGCAGGTCAAGACAACAAGGAAAGTTATTCTTTCTCTGTATGAAACATGGAATAGCTGGAGTCTGCTCAGCTTTAGACTATATAAAGCAGAGTGTGATATTAAGATCTCTGCACCTGCTATTAATTTTTATCTTCTAAAGAAAAACAATTTATGGAGGGAAAGAACGTGCCACTGCATAATCTGTAGACTCTGCCTGCTTTACACCATTTTTAAAAGAGAAGTCATAGAGATCGGTGAGTTTCTGCTCCAGAAGTCATGTTCTTCTAGTCTGCAGCCCTTCCCAATATTTATTTTTAAAGAATTAAAAGACTCCTCTACATTTGAGGCATGTTCCTATAACCCCAGGTACGACAGAGTCTGTTTGAAGCGGGGGTATAAGCCACCCAATTCGATTTGATCGCTTTAGTCAAACATGAGGAAATCACACTCTTTTTCTTTGAAGACTGGTGCTCAATTACAGCCAAGTACCCCCTCAGCAAAGAAAACATGAAGAGTACAGAAAAATTATCTGCAGGATTTAACTTCCTCATCAGCTTGTCTGGGTGAGGATTATTACTGTATACAAGCATCTACATGTGTATATACACTGAGAGATCTTTAAAGAGCGGGAGTGTTTTCAGTTTTTGGAGCTTTGCTATTCTACATTTAAAGCAGGGATGGGAATTGTATATTAAAACCAACTCATTTTCCATCTGTGTTACCATCAACTCAACAAAAAGTCCAAGCACAAACTCCAGCAGCTGTACTCAAACCTGCCAGACTTCTCAGTGTTTACTAGAAAGTCAGGAAACATTTCCGCTTTCAGGAACCCATGCCAAGGGAAACATATTTAGTGCAGATTTTACTTTTGACCAGAAAATGGAGCTAAGATTTGGGACACTTCCACTGCTGGCTTGTTTTGAGGTGTGAAGACAGAGAGATAAAGTTGGTCTGCATGTCCCTTACCTGAAAGAATAAAGTCATTGCAGAAACAGACTGAGCTATACATACTTGAAATTCCTCGCATAGGGGTATTTCTGCAAAGAGAAATATGCTTTTATCACGATAATTTGTCTTTGAAAAATGCATTTGGAGGAACACTTTAGGAAAAGACTACTTGTCATCTGCCTAAAGACCTTGAAAGCATACTTCCAAAACTCTACCGATGCAGGGAAGAGGTATGCAAACTTAGGGCTCACGCTTCAAAGCTTTAAATGAATCAAATTGTTAAGAGTGATTCAGTTTTGACAGGAAGCCTCAACTGTATTTATTTATGAGCAAACTTCATGTGCAAAGGGAATATTATAAGAGCTCCTCACCTTGAGCACAGCGACACCCCCAGTGACAAACACTTGGCGGAGTTATAAATACTTTATTAGGTTCAGTGTAATAGTCCTTTTAAGCAGAAATTGGATATCAGTTACAAAATACTGTATACAAGTTTGAAATAGATGTTATTCAAAGGCTTATAACAGGCCAGGTATCTCAAATTCTGGTGCAGAACACAAACCTTCCTGAGGGCTGCATCGAGACAAATAATCCAGTGCTCTGCCCTGGTCCGAGGAAAATCAGAAGGCTTGTGCCACCCTACATGTTCAATTTCTGGGGAGGCTAGGTGTCTGAAAGCATCACTTACAAATGTATTCCAAGTTCCAGATGTTTGGGTATCCTTTTTTCTTGCTTTACAAGAGCAACACTAACTGCACCTGGCACTCTCTCCAATCTGCAGAAAGTAAGAAGAGAACTTACTTGGCTACCAGAAACCCTGTAATTAAAAGTGCTATTCAACACCCTCCTCTGTTATGTCTTCATACAGAGCCCGCCAACACTACTATTTTTATTTTTTCATCGGAATTTCTATTGTCATAAAATCCTCAGCTAGTGTTACTTCTTGACCATCTAACACTGCCTCTGCCTGTCTCTTCAGTTCGGTGATGTCCGTGTCTCCCTCACCTCTCTGAGCAGCTGGTTTATACCGCTGACTGAAGTGAGTCAAAACCAGTTTCTTAACTTGACACAATTTCGCAAAATCTGATGCCATTTTTGGAGTGCTGTGACCATGCTCTCTGGCCTTTTCCTCTTGGGTATCGTCCAAGGTGGCTTCATGTATCAACACATCTGCTTCACAGCAAAGCTTCATGGCTGCATCTCCAACCACCCCAGAACAATCCCCCAAAATGCAAATTTTTCTTCCAGGAATAGGGTCTTCCAAGACATCTGAAGGAGAAATTGTTACTCCATTTTCTAGAACGATTGCTGTTCCATTCTTTAGTTTCCCATATAGAGGACCTGGCTGAACTCCTGGTAAATAAAGGCAAAAAAGTCCATAAATATTATGATGAGTGTTAAGTTTAAAAAAAAAATCACTTAAGAGGAGATTGGCTATGTATAAAGCTGTCTCACTGAAAAAATACAGCCTCAATATAAACAGCAATTGGTATTTCCCTATTTCATAGAAATAAAGAACTTGTAATGTTAGCAGGAAGTGTGTTTGAAGAAAAGCTACATTCTTCATACCAAAGTCAATAAAGTCATGCAAATACACTGGCCATACATTTTCCTGAAAGCCAAGTTATGCTTTTTAAACTTTAACATCTGAACTTGTTTGCTCTTCCCAGCATGAGAATAGTTTGCAGTGTTAATTGGCACTGGTGTTACGCAACAATTCAGACTGCTGCATCGGTACCAAGTATTAAAATGTCTTTACTAGAAAATGGAAAATTGAACTAAAATGGATTATGGAGAGATACGGCAGCTCTAATTTGCTAGAACCCCTCGAAAGGTGGTCAGAAAAATAACTCAACTGCCTGAGAACCCGATTTTGTTACATTTGCTGAAAATTGGAGTCACTACTCAGCTTGAACGCATGCACTTAGGTGTGTAAAAAAGATGAAAAATAAGTGAAAGTAGTTACCAAGGTCTTTCAGTTTCTGTACGTTGAGTTTACCAGTCCGGGGCTTCTCTTCCACCACAAAGCCAAAGGAAGGAATGCGGTGAAATAGGCGAAACGCTTTCAGAACCAGCTGCTCATCCTCAAGCAGCAAGTAAGAGTTTTCTACTGGGTCCAGGTGAAGTATTCTCCCTTGTGCTCCCTGGGGAGACACCTCATCTCTGTCCAAGTAGGAAAAGTCCTTAAATTCTTCTGCGGGGCACTGGTCTCGTGTAGGCACCAGTTCATGAACAGTGTAAGAAGTTGTGAGTGGGAGAGCTCCATACTCCTCCATATAAAGTTTCGCAGTCCTAATGGTCCGTAAATATCAACGGGTGGTTTTTTTGGGTCAGGGCTGCTTTGGAGGCTCAGTGTACACAGCAGGCCAGGAAGTCCAAAAAAGTGGTCACCGTGTAGATGAGTTATGAAAATCTTGGTAATTCTCCCTATTGATTAGAACAACAGGAAAAACAAACCAGAAAAAGATAGGAAAATAAATGAACATCATAAAGACTCAGAAATAATCACCTTCTGTCAAGAAGTAGGAGATAAGGGAGGGGGGGGAAATTAAAATAAAACCCGTGTTCAAGAAATAAATACCAAACTTTTTTTTTTACACAGTAGCTGTGTTTCCACACAAGGTTTATTTGGGACTGATATGTCAAGAGAAGACTGCAGAGACAGAAGTTTTAGTTGCTTCTAAGCAAAATGTGCAACCAGTTATGGCACTGACTTGACTGGTGACATCTGCTGTATTAAAACACAAAGAAGTGCTGGAAAGAGGTTGTGCTTTCATACATTACACGGAAACTGGATACTCATGAGAAACATAAAGTGAAATCTGTGTTGTTCCTAGTTTTGGATCTAGCACATTCTATTAATATAAGTAAAAAAAAAAAAAAACAAAACAAACCCAAAAAAACCCCAACCATTCAGTTTTGATTTCAAAGTTTTTTAAAAGGGAAGAACCCCATGGTTCCTGACTGGTTTGTTTCAAAGACAATGAAAAGTACAATGAAAAATTGTACTTAAAGATTCTGTCTTTGTTTCGCATTTGAGTTTGTCTCACTCCAACTCTCAGGCACTGGGCTGTGCCCTTGACAGATTAAAAAAAAAAACACAAACAGAATGTATTGACAGGAAAACTCACAGCTGGTATTATCTAGGACCTTCTTCACACAAATACAAACTGTCCCAGTTCAGAGCTGGTCTGTGGTCCATGTTTGACATTACAAAGCCCAAAAAATAAATTCAGAAGAGTTTGGTTCTCGAACACAATTTTTACCAAAGGGCAATCAAGGATTACTGTCAGCCGCCACCTTCAGATGCTCACGCATGTTCAGTGTGTATTCAAATAACACAAGCATGAGGATAAAGTATTTTCTTTAGACCTCATGAAACTTCTCCCCTCCCCTCATCACAAGGCCTTTCACCAGCACAAACCTGCTTTGAGATGGCTCTTCATGAACTGTGTTTGAGTTCCTTCTCCGCAGTCGAAGAGCCAGCACTCTCCTTCCCTGCGAAGCACTAATGCCGACGCTCCTCTTGTTGGAGAGGGATACGCTGAGCCCGTGCCGAGGAAAGTTATGTCCATCAACATTTTAAATCTGTCAGTATGCCACCTGAAAGAGAGATTCTGAGCCACTGAACATAGGGTATTTATGCTGGGAAAGAAAAAAAACATTTCTATTCTATTCTATTCTAGCTTTAAATGAAGGCATCCTACACACTTTAGTGTGAGGATCAAGTTCCTCTTCCCTTAAAAAATAAAAATAAAATCTCCCTGGAACAGGATATGCCTTTCAGACAACACAACATTTACAAGCAGAAGATTTCATTTTTATGTCAATGTAAAGTTGCAAAAAGAAATAGCCCTAACTAATCTGAAATGCTCTAATTTTTAAACCCACTACTATTTATTTCTTCTTTGTTTTATTTAAACTTTGAATTCTCCTGCACGTGCTTTCCTCTAAAAAGTCTTTTCAGAACGACTAACACCAAAAAGCCGCTGCTGACGCTTAAATGCCGTTATTGGATGGCAGGAGTGGGCAGCCCAGCACAGCAGAAGGCAAACGTTCACTCCTCTCAGAACAGAGACCGGAGGAACCAGGAGAGACCTGATTTACTTCGCCTTTCCAACAGCATGCTTGAAAAGCAATCAACATTTCACTTCTCATTAGTATTAAGTGAAAAATAAAGCAGTACCAAATCTTTTTGTAGCCTCAAGTCTGCGTGACAGATCCCGGGATGCTTTTTGCAGGAGAAGGACCTGTACAAACAGCTGCCGCACCCCAGGTGTTTATGTACCTGCTATCCTGTCAGGGTGAGGAGCCTGGCCGGGCTGCAGGAGCAGGACAACCTTCCAAAGGCCACCTCAGGAGCAGAACTTCCACGACCACAACTCTTGACCCTGCCTTACAGGGTGTGCTTTCCCCAGCTTTAGTCTTCCCAGACTTAGCTCCCACCTCGTTTTCAGATGAATTTCCACCTCATCTTGAACTCCAATCGCCTCAGAAGCTTCAGATACCTTCCAAGCAAAAAAGAATTATCATTTCCTCAGGTTTAGTTGCTCTCAGAGGAGCTCCCAGCTTTCGAAAGGAGCACAGCCCCCCTTCCTTGCTGTGCCAGACACACCACAGTGCCATTACCTGCCCTCGGGTGAAAGAATAAACACCCCTCACTCCCCCAAAACGCAGAAATTAACATTATGCTTCCTCTTCCTCACTGTAAAAGCAGATTGTCAGCTTCTCAGCTGAACCACCCTCCCAGTTTG